CTAACAAACAAACAAAACACAAAAAGAGAAAGTGTATGAGTACTAAAACTTGCAATAGATATGCCTACCCTACGTACACACATGTGTCCCATTCGACAGTCTACAACACACGAATAACTGTCAAACAAGTTTGGGTACCCTTTCTGTTCAGGCAAGTTATTTAGTTCGATAATTTTATATTAAAATCCTTTTCAATTTGTTTTCATCCTTTTTCCCTATTCCATGCATGTTTATGTTGCTACATCTTATTGCTCATGTTTCCAAGTATTGTAAAACACTTTAATGTTTCTCCTTCTTAATCTAACGTTATAATATTTCCGGTCATTGCCATCATCTAATACACAAGAGATGATACCAAGACATATTTTATTCGGTTTTATGGTCTATGCGGTCTTACAATTGATTTTATTAGTCTTTAAATCTTATGTCTAGTAAATATTTTCACAAACAGGGCTGTTAACTGATATAAGGAATGTAACATCCAGTTGATGACTGAATACGACGTACGTTAGTCTGGTAACGACATTTCTACAATTAATATTTTGAATAAGCCGTTAATACGCCAGTTGTGACAGGGATGATGGTATGGTAGATGTAGCAGACATATTGACAGCCGTTGTTACGCGAGTCACTAGGTTATTAGTACGGCATTGGCCTTGTTGATTGGTACTATACTTTCCGTGGCCACTGGCGGACGTAATTCAAACTCCTTCCACACTGACATCGCACCAAATATATTTGTGTACCGATTACATAACTCTTACTGACAGGGTAGGGTGGTAGTTCACGCGAAACGGACGACACTGCGTATATTGAGCGGCTCCTTTGATATCGCCTCACAACATACTTTTAATGAATGACCAATTAAACGATGATACACATCAGGATCGCGGAGAAAATACAAGCTTCGTTCGCGTTGAATATATATATTAAGGCACAAATTCATCTTTCATAAACTTTTTGTGTCTTGGTGTTTAATATATCCACATATCAACGAAAATATGTAATACATGTATCCACAAAAATATACATGTACAGGCTAGGTATTTGCCCACAGCAACACCTGCATAACTGTTTATTCACGCGTGGTGTGGCAGATTGTAATTGACCGACAACAAGTATTGTAGAATCACCTGTAAATAAGGCCGACACTGTAATTAGACACAACGTACTAATGAGAATATGAGAATTATCATAAGAAGGCTGTTACGTTTTTCTTAACTATTACCATTTTCATACCAAAAGTGACAATGCAGTTAAAAGTTGCTTTAGTGTCACAATATTCACTCACGTTTTCCTCAATCGCATTGAAACATAATTCCTACTGGTCAGTTCGACACTGCTTGTAATTAAATAATTATTTCGAGATTTCGTTAGAATGTAAGATATTCAGCCAAACGTTATGCAATAAAAGACGAATAGTTTCTTTCCATTAAAATACGCGCACGCGTACCTGTCACGTAATTGCCCAGTGTGATGTATCAACGGGTCATAAAATGGGAAATGAAATAGAAACTAACTAAAATTTAATGTTGTACACGCACATGAATTCGTATGATAAACTGCCAAAACGTTTTGAGAGATAAGGCCGGGTTCATTAAAGATGTTGGGTGCGGTTAGGACCAAACTTTTTCAGCTCAGATTGTTAGTGGTCCTGGAACCCATAGTGTCAAACAGGTTCTGCAAAATACGTCAATCAGATTCTACTGTTCAACAGCATTGTCACTGAATTTCAGAGCTCTGGCATGATATAATAATCAAGAATTTCGAAGGCAAAACCTTTTCTCGCCCATGGGCGAAATATTTCAATAAATCTGTAAAATAGCTGAATTGAGTAAAATTGTGTTACATTATGTGCCATGAAAATAGTTAGAACTCCTGCATGTATTTACGAAACAAAAACATAAGTTTTAAGTAAAGGAAAATATTCTCGCCCATGGGCCAAACCCTTTTCTCGCCCATGGGCGAAATATTTCAATATCGTTATAAAATCGTTGAATTAAGTTAAAATGAGTTAAATTTTGTGTCATGATACTTCAATAAATACATTTAATGTATTTGCGAAACAAAATCATGAGTTTTAAGTACAGGAACATATTCTCGCCCATGGGCGAAATATTTCAATATCGCTATAAAATCGTTGAATTAAGTTAAAATGAGTTAAATTTTGTGTCATGATACTTCAATAAATACATTTAATGTATTTGCGAAACAAAATCATGAGTTTTAAGTACAGGAACATATTCTCGCCCATGGGCCAAACCTTTTTCTCGCCCATGGGCCAAATATTTCAATATCGCTATAAAATCGTTGAATTAAGTTAAACTGAGTTAAATATTGTGTCATGATACTTGAATGAATACATTAAATGTATTTGCGAAACAAAAACATGAGTTTTAAGTAAAGGAACATATTCTCGCCCATGGGCCTGCCCATGGGCCTACCCATGGGCCAGACTTCGCCCATGGGCAGGCCCATGGGCGACATAGTCTAAATATTGAGTTTTTAAACAATTTTTTTTTCATTTTTTCTTCCTTGGTATGTTCCCATGAAAACGGCATGTTTAATTTTGTAAATACCTTTAACCGAGACTGGGCAAAGAGCGTAGAGTTTCTGGACTTTTGGGTTTCCAGAATTAAAATGGGACGTGTTACAGTATGATTGAACACACTTATATTTTGATATATATATGGGTATATTTTTAGATGCAGGACATATGTAAAATCAAAAAAATATTTCTGAGGGATTCTTTGATGAAGAACTTGAAATCATACGCGCATTCTGATTGGTTTGTCGTATTTTCGCACAAAACATTCATCGATAGGGGGACGAGTGTTCTCGCAGGTTACGGAAAGGGCCGAGTGGTGACGAATCATCCACTATATCTCCAGGGCTGGCATTTCGGAAAAACCCATTTATCACTTGATCCATCCTTGTTGTCCTAACGATTTAAAATTTGATGGGATCGGGGGAACAATCCAGTGATTGAAATCAGGAGAATCGATCTAGGTAATTGGGATACGATTACATGCATTAACGAAGTCAGCGAGCCTGACCACCCGATCCCGTTAGTGGTATAATTTCTTACAAAAAGTATGGGTTGCTGAAGACCAATTCTGACCCGATCTTCAGGGGTGTTTTGAGTCTTATTACCATCACATAATCAAGGTCACAGAGCCTAAGCATTCGCTACATTCGCTAAATACGGGTATGCTTGGGAGGTATCACATATGTCTTAACTAAGAAATGAACGACTTTCAAATTGAAATAAAATATAAACCCAGAATTCTTATGAAATCAACAATCAACAAGGAAATGGTATACAATCAACAATTGTATTGTAAAATGAACAAGGTTTATAAATGAATACAAATGACTGCAAAGTACTTACAATGGCAGTACACAATAGAGTGGTAATACACAATTTAAAGGCAGTATAATTCCAATGTCAGTAAAACATATGATAGCGATGGCCACAGCAAAAATGTCACTGATAATAATATTCACCTTCCAGCAAGAGAGGTCAAAGCCTCAAAAAAAGGTCAATGCTGGATATCCAGGGCGAAAACAATTATCTTCACACAACCGCTGGTATTGATGTAATGTGAGAAGACAGAAACATGCACTTGCTTCTTTATATGGTCTAAATACCTTCCAGTAGGTTCTATACAGTGTTTGATTAGTCTAGCTGTCCTAGAAGATACAAGAATACACTTGACTACACAAGGATCTAACTATCAACACCACTGCTCACATAAGTTTGTTTGTTTGTTTGTTGTTAAAGCCGCACTCAGCAATATTCCAGCTATATGACGGCAGTCTGTAAATAATCGAGTCTGGACCAGACAATCCAGTTATTGACACCATGAACATCCATCAACGCAATTTGGATCGATGGCATGCACCAACCAAGTCAGCGAGTCTGACCACCCGATCCCGTTAGTCGCCTTTCACGACAAGCATAGTCGCCTTTTACGGCAAGCATGGGTTGCTGAAGACCTAATCTACCCCGGATCTTCACGGGTCGTTCACATGACACATTTCTGAGAACTAACTTTGTCAAAAATCATTGTCATGAGCTACTACTGACTCTCAACAGAAACAATGTAATACAATAACAATTACAACATTGTTTCACTAGAACTGGGGGATAAAACACAAACAATACTGATCCCCCCATCGCCAATTACCCCACACAACACACACCCCCGCGCGCGCACACACACACACACCACCCCAAACCCACTCACAAACCACGTACCGATTGATATGATCTTTTAAGCATAAGCCCGAAATGCAGGGCGGGACTTATTATGAATAGTCAATGACACTGATTTATAATGCAAAGCCCATTTGTGCTGTACCCCCTGACGTGAAAAGTTGTGATACCGCCAATGATTAGGGTATAAGATTTTCGCTGAAGGCGGCGTAAAACAATACTACTTTAACCATGCTCTGGAAACAAAAGGTGACGGACGGACATCTCCCAGTTCTGTGTGCTCGTGGCAGTGGGAATATAGCCTAAATAGACACTGGGGCACAGTTAGTTTTAAGAAGTGGATCATGGATACAGCTGTACAAACAGAATTGGGCTGGTCCATAAGTTAGCCGTCGTTTCGAGCAACGTTTTGGATATCTTTTCCTTTATAAATTGCACAGTGTGCCCTATATGTGTGAGCTATCTTGAGAAGCAAGCGGGGAAAGAACCACGTGCCGAAACACGTTGAAAAACCCAAATTCGGGCTTAGAGACGAATCGACGTATACATATTGTCCTATCTTTGAATTGTTCTTTGTTTATTTCATCTCCCCCTGTTCCAAATAAGCGAAACCAGAATTATTGGAGATGTTACCGATTTTAATATTCACGCGAGTTCAAATTATAAAATACTGTCATCTCCAAAGAAACGTTTTGTCGATAACAACATATCAGCCGTGTACCTCTCCTCCAAAGTTTTTCTTGGATGATCACACATAATTATTCCACGCCAATCACCTCACCTGTTTCCATTGGCGATTATCCGTCACACTGAAGTGGTCAAGCTTCTGTTGAAACCAGCGTTCAGTTACCGTTGACAAGGATGGCGATGGGGCATCTTCTGCAGACTTGTGGACATCATCAACTCGCCGAGGGAGGGGATCAACGCTGCCCTGAATGCATACAACCACACAACTCACGATCACGACGTATCTGATGATATTGTGTCCGTTCATTGTTCTCAGCCCCAAAATGTGTCTTTACATCAACTGGCGTATACAGTTCAGGTCTTCCACATACGTTATACTTTTTGACGTTGTCGTGGTCTTTGTTTGATTTAGATAAGACGGTCAGCATCACATGGCTATTGAGTCAAGATTGTGTCAGTGACTAAGTGTATATCACGGCAACAGAGGATTGAGGCAAAATGTTGCAACACCAACTGACACACTATCTATATCACCGGGGCCCATATACCTTTATAACACCACCGGTAGCAGTGGGGGAGTCGTCTCTCAACATACAAGCCAAAGTCTTTATAATGAGGAACATAAACGTTTCGGCCGCGGAGTATATGCTTACTCCTTCATCTCTGATGTGTATCACTTCTGAATGCCATATAAAGGCTTGAAAAGACATAAGCTTGGATACGATGAGTACAAATATACTCTGAAACGCTGTGTTCCGCATAATAAGGAAGTTCGCATCTGTTCTGGAATACTGTTAAAAGCGGCATTAAACCCAACTCACTCACTCACTGTCATTCTCAACTCCCTGGGGATTTAACAAGCCAAGCTGCCTCCGGGTGCTAGAGGATTTAGCATCCACCTCACATATCGGGTACCCATTCCCTGGTAGGTTAACAGAGACATATTTAAACTAAGTCACCTGCCCAGGGTTTGACACTAGTGTTGTTTTGCCGTGTATGTAGGCATTCGTGTGTCCATCATCTGGTTATCTACCAAAGGATGAGTGAAATACTAAGGGTGAATGTGATATATGCCCAAATTAGTTTTCGCTATTGTCAATTGTTAGGGTGAGATAGTTAAACCGTCAATGTTGCACAGAAAACCAGATAAATTTATCCTTACCGTCGGCGAGAAACGGTGCAGTGCTTACAAAAACGTGTCTTGGGATTTTTTTGTAGTTATGTAATACTGTTACTATTGAGTCGTACTGACTGGCAAAAAGAAAGCATTTGCTAAGAACTATAAAGCACACACAAAATGAAGCTAATTCATAATTTGCCTTAACAGGTAGGGGAACATGACAAAATTCATTGATGAGGGTTGGATTGGTTCTGATTTCCAACCCTTACTTGCAACAAGGTGAGGACAACACAAAAGTATAAGGAGGTTTCAGAAGTTGTTGTTAGTGATCGGGACGTAGGGACCAAGTCATCGGCGCATCGAGTACGCAGGCGTCTTTGGGCTGCTTTCTTGACAGTTGGTGGTCCATTGCATCTGTAGTTGTGTTATCGGTCTCAATGTCAGATCGAGTCTACTTTGGAGTCCCTTCCCACCTTTCGCGGCCATCTATCAGTGTGTTCGCTCGAGTAACTGATCTTTATCAAAGAAAACCTACTCTAACATTAATCTATAAGACGTCACGTTTATAGTCGTCCTGTCATGTTATAAGGTTACGAAGTGCGGTCAGATATACACACACCCACAAAACGGAACAAGGAAACAAATCGGACATATCCGACATAACACGATCTATTTAGTCAGGAATATTTCAGTTATCTGAGGGTGTTGAACAAAACGGACCATTAATATAACGCGCGCCTTCGAATTCCAACACCTTTGAGGTAGGATGACTCTCAACTAACTCGATCTACACTGAACAACAAAAGTTCCTGTGACATTGAAAAAGATTTCATACAAAGTTATGTTTTTTACCAAATCTGAAACAATTTCGGTTTGCAACAGATAAAAGACTCATGTAAGTGTTCAAATGGTTAGATTTGCCATACTGACTTCCGAAAATGCGTGATTTCATTTAAAAAAAAACATGAACATGCCAAAATGTCAATTTACAAATCAATAGCGTGTGTGTCCACCTCTGGTTGCGATGCAAGTAACACATCTTCGTCTCATGGAATGGACCAGGCGTCGCACAAAGTCCTGTGGGATTTCTGTCCATATCTCATGTTTCGAAGTTCCTGGAGTGTCTGTGGAACACGTGGTTGACGTCGAAGGCGCCGATCCTTCTCATCCCACATGTGCTCGATTGGTGGAGATCAGGGAACCAAGCCGGCTAGGGGATGATATTCACGTTGTTTTGTTGAAGAGAATCCTGAACAAGTCGAGCAATATGAGGCCGGGCGTTGTCATGTTGAAAGGTAATGCCTGGGCCATGACGACGCAAAAACGGTAGAACAACAGGGCCGATGATCTCGTCGCGGTTGCGCTGTCCATTGAGATTTCCTTCTATCACTATCAAACGGGTCCTCTGTCTTGCTGTAATCCCACCCCATACCATAAAGCTGCCACCCCCGAACCGATTTTCTTCCATAACACAATGATTGACGTAACGTTCACCTCGACGTCGGTACACTCGAATCCGTCCATTGCTGTGGCTGAGGTGAAAACGAGATTCGTCAGTGAATAGCTCTTGTCCCCACTGCATGGCCGTCCAGCGTAGACGCTGTCTGCACCACTGTAGACTTGCTTGACGGTGGTTCTTGTCAAAATAGGACGTCTGCCTGGTCTTCTGGCGACAATCCCTGCACATATGAGGCGGCGACGTACGGATTGTGAAGATATTCGTCGAAGGCCAGGGATGCTTCTTGCAGTCACTGTTGCTGGCTGGAATCGATTTCGTAGGTGTGTTGTTCGAATCCAGTTGTCTTGCCGATTATTGATTACGCGTGGCCTGCCACTCCGAGTGAGTGAGTGAGTTAAGATTTAACGTCACATCGGCAGTATTTCAGCCATATCGTGACGAGAAGTACATTAATAATACATAAATGTATACAATATAAAAAGCTGTCAACGATGGACAGTAAAATTACTAGAATATCACAGATTAATATTTAAAACTAGCATACAACTATAAAATATATCACTATATATAACGGTACAATATAAAAAAGGGCTATAGATCGCCAGCAGCTGAAGGTAGATCACCATGCTAGGGTCCATGGGGACTTACAATACTTTTGCTACCTGCATGGACCCCAGCCGGATTTACATCATCCCTTCCGCTGTTGGCAATTAATGACAAATCTAGCCAGAATATACTACGTCTAAAAACGAGCAGAAATAAACATACTTTGAAAGACGTGGTCTTACATACCCTCTCAGGGGGACAATAATTTTACACTACTTTAACCCCCTTCGAGGATATAGCCACTAACAATCTCAGTTATTGAATAATTCTACCAATTATAAAAGTTATTTATTTAATTACAAACTATAATAATCAAAATTTATGCAGTAATTCGATTTCCTTTAAAAAACCAATAATAAAATGACTGCTTACCTGGTAAAAAAGATCCTTGATACATGAAACCTTGAAATATTTATCCCTTGTGATGGAAAAATCAATGCAGTCAAGCAGGACATGCTTGACCGTGATTCTTTCATCACAAGGGACGCAGAATGGAGGATCCTCACCTTTTAAAATATATTCATGAGTATAACGTGAATGGCCAATACGACATCGACATCGTCTTAAAATGACCTCTTCAAATCTGGACTGACAACCCAAGTAGGTATAACCAATATTCGCTTTTATTGCATGTAATTTATTTATACCCACTTGGGTGTCCCACTTCTTCGGCACTAGATCTCTGATGTAAGATCTAATGACAGGTTTATAATCACTGTATGGTAAAAGAAGTGGTGTCACAGATTTGTTGAGTGCTGCTTTTGCGGCAGCATGAGCCAGTGTGTTACCAACAATCCCAACATGGCATGGTCACCAACAAAAAACGATGTCATATTGGCCAGTCGCAAGATCATTAAATAACTCAAGAATTTCAATTAAAAATGGATGTTTACAAGACATATTTTTAATAGCCTGAAGGCACGAAAGTGAATCTGAAAAAATAATGAAGTCTGTATATTTTGATTTCTTCTTGATAATTATGTCAATTGTATGTGTGTATAGTGAAGCATTCGATTGAGTGTCTCTGAATATGTAGTATTTTTATCGAATTGGCTAAAAATACAAGGAACAATATTTAAATTATATGGCCACGTTGATCTGGAAGGCAAGCATGTTGGTTTTGTTGGGCTATTCATCCTCACTCTAGTAGGGTCGTTTCTCTATAATCTATAGAGACTTTTATTATTGATGAAAACACAAACTGTTGCCTGAAAACATGTACTTTTTAAATTTCTCCTATCACAATCAACCCAAATCATATCAATCCTTTGTCACACATAAGTAGGGGCACGGGTGGCCGCGATTCGTTGTGCAACCTTGCGTCCCTTCGGCACGGCAGAAACCTATGATTGTGGGTTCGAATCCCTGTTCGCGCCGATTATGTTTCAAGGTTTGCCTCCACCATACTCGTGCTCGTGGGTTTCACCGTAGAGGTAAACGTCTAAGACCTCCATCACTTCGGGCTTTCCTCCCACATTAAGCTGACACGCCGTGATATAACCTGAATACTGTTAAAAGCGACGTTAAACCAAACTCACTCATTTACAAATAATTAAGGCCAGTTAAAATACATATCGTTTTTCAAAACAAACAGGAAGGGATTTTAAGAATGTCTTTTTTATTGGCTTACAAATATAAAACAAATATGAACTTGATGCTTTAGTTATAATGCGTGGGTAAACAGTGCGAATATGTTTCAAATTTGAGTTTAGAAAGGTTCTCCTTGACAGTGATTAGAAAATAAGGGTCACATACTAGTGGGGGCGGGTCAATAAAAATAATCTCTTTTAGACGTCTTATCTACACTGGGGTTGTGAGATGGTCTTGTGGTTAAAGCGTTCGCTAATGACGTTGGGTTCATGCCCCGGGTTCGATTTCCAACATGGATACACTGTGTGAAGTCCACTCATCTACACAATATTGATGACAACGACACATAGGACAAATGTTTTAATGTAGAACACAACCAATTTGATCTGTGTCGAGTGTGACATTAAACCCACATAATGATCATGCGTCCATGGAACAATGTGTGTATACTAACAGATGTTCTAAAATGGTTATCCCTGACTACAAACTCGATGATTTAACACGTACATTAAATACAAATATCCACAAAATAAAACAACCAAAATCCAAATACATCAAACATCGCACTATTTTACGCAGCATATTTTACATATTCTTGATCTACTGCTGAATGAGCACCTATTCACCTTATGA